CTTGCCTTAGAAAGAGGTACGTTCTGCAAGCGAGAGCTGTCCTTCGATGAGGTAAATTTTTTCAATTCCGCTTTGTAGAGAGAAATTGTTGTCGGGGCTCGGTCGGCTTGCAAAGCGTTCGTAATAACTCCAGCTAACGGGAGACCCAGTCGTGTAGCTTCCTGAGCCAAATCCGCTCCCGCTTGGAAACGAGAAGCTGAAAATCATTGAACTGATCTTTTCGCCCAAAATCAGGGGTGGGCGGGCGGGACCTCTCTGAGACGCCGTAGAAACCTGGATGGCCCTTCTACGGCGAGGCTCAGTGAGGTCACTTCGCCCCGCCTCCCTCCGACCAAAGATCAATAATTCAAAATATCACTTATACCTCCGTTATACTCTGGTATAAATACCATTTTGAATTATTGTACACGTAGAGACTGTGGAAATTTAAAGCCTGGGGACTAAAAAGAAAGAGCCTTGCGCTCATAAGGGAGCTCCCGAAAATCAATAAGGAAGAACACAAACGGAGACTTCGAGAATGGGGAACCAAAGGCCCCTGGTTGACCGTCTTCTTGAAACAGCTTAGTCCCCACCGGAAAAAGCCCATCTTTGATGAAATCGGCCCACGTGGCCCCGTCTCTCCTGATAACGGGAAAAAAGGGCTGCGAGCTCCACAAAGGACATCCCAGAATTCCCACTGACTTGTAGTACGCTGCCCATTTTAGCGTTTTTAAGACCAAAGATACCGGAGGAACTAACCAAAGGAAACGGTCTCTCCATGCCTCGCAGATATCGAACGCATTGACGCCGGCCGATCCTGGACATGGAACGCTGGAAAAGAACACCTTACATTTCGTGTTGCGATCGTTTGCAAACATATCGATGTCGGGGAAGCCCCATTTATTTGCTATGATATTGAAAATGAAGGAGGATATCCTCCAGTCATCGAAATCTAATTCTCTACTCGCTGCGTCAGCTTCCGTGTTCAATCCCCTAGGTATCCATTTTACTATAACTTCCAGCGCATGTTGGTCTTGTATATGCCATGCATTTGTGCTAAATGGTGAAGCAGAAGGGACATGCTGCCTTTTCTAAATATGCTGGAAGCTGCTTGGTTGTCAGTATTCACGAGAACACTCCCTTCTAAGCGGTTTTTGAAAGCGTCTAAACCGAAACTGATGGCGAAGAGCTCCCTTGCTGTACTTGATTCACCCAGAAGGGGCATAGGAAGTTCTCTAAACGTCCTATCCTTTATATCCCCATTAGAGTCTAATAAAACAGCACCAACGGAGTGCGCCGAGGCATCTACCTGGATGATATGCTGGTAGATTGTTTGTTCGTTCTCTTTGAGGAAAAAGTGATTTTTCGATTGTTCTTTCTAGTCTGGAAGACCAAAAAAGCAACTCACTCTTCTCTTCGTTTGTTTTCACCCATTTGTGAGACATGGGCCAGTCTGAGACTCTGTGCCAGTGCGATTTCTCGCGCCACGCCACGTGTAAAGCGAATATCTGCAAAATTCATCACTAAGTGCATAGATGAAAGGGTTCCTGACCATCTTAGTCTATCGTAAAGAGAAGGCTGTGCCTTTTCTCATTAATACTGACATTCTGTGCTTGGCTTTCTCAAGTCTCTCGTTTGTAATGCCAAAGCACATCTTGGCCAGATTAATGTCGAAACCCAACCACTTCGCCGACTGGGACGGGACCAATTACATTTCTCATGAGCAAAGTGCCACCCCGCTTCCTGAAGGTCTTTTCTGATTACAGCTGAAGCTTCCCGACACCCGTCTTTGGAAGAATGGAATATAATTCCGTCGTCGATATAGATAGCCACCCCTAGCCCTCTTTGCCTCCACTTCTTGACAAAGGGGCGCAGTAATTTAGTGAAAAGCTGCGGGGCTGAGGCGAGTCCGAAGGGTAGGCATAAAAATTGATATACTTTTCCCCTCCATTTGAACCCTAGATAATTGATATGATCTCGAGAGATTCTCACGTGATGGTAGCCCGACTTGAGGTCGCATGGAGTGGACCCTGCATTTCCATCGGAAATTATTCCTAATGGAGGAATTACTCGGTACTCTATGGATAGAACATTAGACGAGTACAGGGCCGAAATATTGCAAGCAATTTCAGAAACGCATGAAAGAGTGAGGGAGTACAATTCCAGAGTGCGGGAGCAAATGAAAAAGCACTACGACAGTATGAACAAAGTGGACGGAAAAACCTTTCCAAAGTTGGGTGATCGGGTCTATGTCCTATCGCCGAATGAGAAAGCGCGAAACTCACATCCCAAGTTGGTTTGTGAATGGGCTGGGCCTTTCAGAGTAATACAAATAAGTGAGAATTCAGCACTCGTCAGCAGAATAGGTGAGAACAACGATCCTATACGAGTACCATTTGACCAATTGCGGGTGGTCCCTAAAGAGATATCGGATGAAAGAATAGACACAAAACATCAGAGAGGTTGCAAGGGTAGAAAGAAAAAGGCAAAAGTTTCGACAATTCATTGTGCACTTTTCAGAGGCGCCGTTGTGTCGAGCTCGGCCGAGAGGGGGCACCTCGAGTTCGAATGTTCCGATGGGTGCTTCAAGCAGACGAGGCTAGGAGACATAAAGGGAATCCCATTCCCAGGAGCCTTCGCGCACAGGCCAGTGGAGAATCTGTGGCGCGCATGGAAGACGGCTTCAATTTTCAACAGGACCGATATTTCTGTGGCCGAAAAGATTCGGCTACATAAGGAGAACAACGTCACGCTGGACGCTCACGCACTGGGGGCAATCCTGAAAATGGCATACGAACAATGCACAGACTGGACAGAGTTTATCTGTTCAAATCATACCGTGGCGAAACACCCTCCGATCGATGGATACCAGGTCCAGGAATTTTATGAAATTGCATTTGAGAAAGGTTAAGGAGGAGCTAGACGAGGAAGCGCGGGCGTCACGGCCACGAAAACAAGGACCCGTGGGATTCGCGGCCCCGGAAGCGGCGATTCTGCTAGAGAAAGACGGGCCACGGGGGAGCCTCATAACAAAAGTGGTGAAGTCATTTGCGGCTCTGCAGGAGACTGTGGCGGGTTGGTCAACCTATGGGACATGGATCGTCGTGATGCCCATAGAGCGGAGATGTGATCGTCATGAAACCTTTGTCGGGAAAGGCATGTAAAACGGTGCTCATGTCATCTAGTTTGAATTTTGGAACATTGATGAACTGATTCAGATGTGAGAGATCATGAACTAATCGCAACTTCTTACCTTGTGCGACCGAAAGAGGATGTATGTGTATTGAATGATGAAGGGGTTCGGGAACCTCTGCGACTACACCAGATTGAAGCAAATCTGAAAGCTCCTTGGTCACAAAACTATCATGCTCGAGAGCGCTCTTACGATTTCCGTTGTATTTTGGCCTCGTGGGAGAGGAATCAAAGGGTATAGAGTACCCATATCTACGTGGTCGAGACCACACACTGACAAATGAAGATGAATCGAGCCAGCGACAAACTCACCATTTCCTGTTGGGACACTCTCTGGACCAGTGCCCTTCCCGGCCACAGCTGTTGCACTCGCTCTTTCTCCTGTCCCTTTCCTTGTTGTATGGGCGAGCTGCGTACTTGTCTTGCGGTGACTGATCCCTTTTGTAGATATTACTGTACTTCCGATACGCTTCCGGTCTGTGCCATGTCGATAGCGGGACTGACGAATACGGGCCAGTGAACGGATGGCGTTGACGCACGCTAGGTGGATACGGGGAGGCAGGGTGCCAGGCTGCCTCCCGCTTTCGAAAGGGCTGCAATTTCCTCCTTGGTTCGTCCTCTTTCTTAGCAACCGCTTCCAGGAACTTGCTCAATCGAGCATCTTTCGATTTCAAGGATTCCGCCTTTGTTTCCTTCTCGAGGAATTGAAATACTTCGGGGTAGTCGTCCGCTATAACGAGAGTCTCGTTCCGAACAGTCAGATCTTTTATGACGTCCGCAGCTACATCGCCAACTTGTTCGAATGATTGCAGAGGAGTCAGTTTGTGAATCAGCGAAGAATTAAACTCAAATTGTTTAGCGTACCCATCCCTCTTGAACGAGGGTTTAGACGATGACGATGAGGGTGCTTGGGAATTTTCCACTCGAATAGCATCAATTATAGACTGTAAATCCCGTGGGTCCATACGAATAGCGCAGTCCACCACTTCTTCTTCATGTGCCATGTCGGTAGGGTGAGAATTGCCAGGAATATCGTCTGCCATGAATATTAGACGTATGTCGA